ACAAATGCATCTGTGCTCTGCAGCATGTTCCAGTTCATGCTGCTGGTGCTGTGGTTGTCCACAGGTTGCCCATGCTTCTGCCCACAGCTATGAAATCACATAAGCATGTCTCAAGGGTTGGTATGTCCCTCTGGCCTGTGTAAAAGGTCAGGGCTGTTACTCCTGCAGCACAGCAAGGATGTCCAGGAACAGAGAAACTAAGAGCTGTTTCTGAGATGCACAAAGCTGTGGATGAGGAGGAGCCAAGTGGTGAATTGGCAGTTGTTGGCTGTGTACTGGCTGCCAAAGCAATCTTTGTGTTGGTTTCTTTAATGCCTGAGCCCATGTGAGGGGCTGGTCCCGTCAGCTGTGCCCTGTCTGTGCTCAGTGAGCTCTGTGCCCGCCCTGTGCCGGTGCAGGACACTGCTTCCCGTGAGTGCATCCACTCCTTTCACTAACAGCACGTGGCTTCCCTGCTCTTGCGGAGGGCTGGGTCCATGCTGCGGTGGGAGGTAGGAAGGTGTATTCGCACAGATGGGTAAGAGGCAAGACCCTGCTCAGAATTCTGTGCAGGACCTTTCCTCTGGCCCTTATAATCCCTGTCCCAGGGAGCTGTAGCTTGCTGTACTTGGTATAGTCCTGCAGCGTTTGTGCAATAATGCATTGTTTCATTTTCTCTGAATGGACACCATCTGAGGCTGGATCCTTTTTCTCCCACTGGCACAGAAGAAGCTGCAGTTGGAGACTTTACAGCCCCAGAATGAAAGTCAATCACTATCTTGGCATTGTGATGGCATTTCAAACTGCAGGAAATGGCAGGCTTTCAGCTTGCACTAATTCGTGTTAGTTATGCAAAATTATGTGCTCTGAGAACCCTCAGGCATGGTTTGACTGTCTTTAGAGGTGGTCTCTTCTCAAGAGGTCAGAAAGACCATGTTGCACAAGGCTTAGCTCTTCATTAAAATGTAGCAAAAGTACTGAACCCTGGCAATGTCTAGGATCTTCTTGCAAGAAGAGTCTCTTCACAAGTGCCACTCTGAAGACATGTGTTCATAACATCATGCTTTGCTCATCACTTACTCATCCTAATGGTCATAGCAGAACTAGAAGAGTTTTGGGGATAGGTGACTGGTTGTGAGGGGCTAGAGAAACTCTGCTCTTAAGGAACTGATGGCAAAGACCAGAGGTTTTCTGCCTTGGTGGCAATAGGATGAATAGAAACATTTGCTAGAAGCACACAGGCATTGTGGTGACTGCAGTAACCAGAATGTGCATTCAGGCACAAAGTGAAGACTTGTATGAAATGAAAAATTCAATGCTAATAAACTTTACTTGCACAGATACTGGGGGAGAGGAGATTTCATTTAATGTAGCAGCTGGAGAGCATAGTTTGAGAAGGCTGAGCAGGATCAGGGATCCGTGTTCAGAATGCACCTAGAAATCTGTGGTCAGAGAGGTATGTTCAGATATTTGGTCCAGGCAAGTTGAAGACAGCAGTCTTTGGGGGTCTGAGAAGGATAGTCCTTGTACAGGTGAATGTAATTAAGGGATTTTGCCATTTGGAGTGGTATTTCCATGCGTGCATTTTGCTGAGATAGGGCTCTAGTAAGGGCAAATATCTGGCAAAGACCTGAACAGTGTGCTCTCAGTCCCTGCGCGGTGCTAGTCACGCTGCTACTTGTTTCTGTTGCACGTAATTTTTGTTAGTAAGAAGGAGGATGTCCCAGTCTGTGTTTAAGTCCTTTGTCTGCTACAGCTGCTTCTGCAGGCCTGTACAGAGTAAGCAGACAGCAAAGGGCTCCTCAGGCTGATGAGCACTTGGATTCAAAGAGACTTTGGGATAATGGATATTCCTGAAGCTGGGCATGGCCCAGTGTTTGCTCTGTCACTTGCAGGGGGGCTGCTGTCACTGAGCTGGGGTGGCAGCCGCTGAGCATGAGCAGGGGCTGGGGCACTTGCCCCTCACTCAGTTTGCATTTCAGCCTGAAGTTTGTGTGTTGTTCTGCTTTATCTCTGAATTCATTTGAGGAACAGTTTTGGGTTTCAGCACGTGTGCAGTGATTCAGGGTTTTTGGAAATGGGCGGTCTGTATGGCTGTGCTCCTGTATCCTGAGAACCAACTGCTGCAACTGAAAAAGGGGAACCTGTCCAACAGCAGGTTGGGAGCGAAGTTCAGGAGGGCTGCACTGCTTCAGAGAGTCACTGAATTGTAGGTTGGAAGGGACCTCTTGAGATTGTCCAGTCCTACCTGCTCAAGCAGGGTCAGCTAAAGTAGGCTTCCCAGGACTGTCCAGTTGGGTTTTTAATGTCTCCCAGGATGGGTACTCCCACAGCCTCTCTGTACAGCCTATTCCAGTGTTTGACCACCCTCACGGTAAGAAAAAAACACAAAAAATGTTTTTTTTGTGTTCAGATGGAATCGCATGTGTCTTAAGTTGTGCCTTTTTGCCTCTCAGCCTGTCACTGGGCACTGCAAAGAAGAGGGTCTGGCTTCTTCTTCCTTGCCTCCCATCACGTATTCACACATACTGATAGATCCCTCCCCAAGCCTTTTCTTTCCCGGCCTAAGCAGTCTTGGCATGCTCAGCCTCGCCTCATCTGAAAATGCTTCAATCCCTTAATCATCTTCACCAGACCCAGTACTTCACCATTCCTACTTCCCATCTGCCAGCAGCTTCTGGCCCCGCAGCTTGAGCCCTTCTCTTTCTTTCAAGTGTAAAGGGGGCGGCCCCTGCGGGGGTGCAAGGAGCGGGCAGAATGCGGACCGGCCGCGCTTTGTTCACCGCTCTCGGCAGCGGCAGCTCCACTGCTTGTCTGAGCCTCGGAAATGGCAAAGAACAGCCGTGTTTCCATGCCCGCTCGCCCTGCGACAGACCCCGTGGCCTGTACAGCTGACATGGTTCTGCAAGCGCTGCCCAGTCAGCAGCCCTTCGGCTGTCACTGCCTCTGCAGCTCCTTGGTGCTGGGAAGAATGCCTGTGTCTGGGCACCAGTGCTGTGCCCAGAGCCCTCCTTTCCCATGGCACAAGGAAGAGTCTGCTGGTGCTGGTTCTGCACACCGAGCTGTGTTCTCGAAGTGACGTGGGTAACGACTGCCAAAAAAGTCTGTCTGGGATGTTTAGGCAGCAGAGGGGCAGCAGCTGAAGCCTGAGCAATGGCACGGGTTTCACTTTGTCCCAGACCTACTGTTGAAAAAAGGGAACAGATCGCTTGTGTGTGAGTGGAGGTGTTTGGTGTGGGGTGAGCTGTGTGAAAACTGCATGACACAGCAGGGAGGAAGCGAGGTACTCCTAGTGTTTGCTGCTGGGATCTGAGCAATGCCTTTACAATTACTGTTACCTCGAGGATGAGTGGGTTTGTGCTGCTTTTGGGTGCAGTGCCTGCTCCAGAGCACTTCCCGGCCCTCTCACACTGCTCCCTGTGGGCTTGCAGCATTACTTCTTTGAGAAGGAGCCTGGTTCCCAGCCTTTCCCATCCACACACCACATCCCACATCGGATGGCAGAAATGCCACTGAACTCCATGCAGGCATTTCCTTTGCAGAGTGATGGTTTTGCTTTAGTCTGGAGGAACCATTTTTAGACAAACTGAAGGAACACAAACTCAGAAAGCAGCTAGAGATGCAGACTATAAATAGTTCAGCTGTGAGCTTAGAGCCACTCTCATGTTGGGTTGAAAGTTGCCTTCTGGGCATATCTACTTAGTTTATACTTAATTGCTGGCAGCCAGGGTAAAACACCCCAATAAACTGAGTTTGATTTAAGCTATACTGAATATTGGCCTTTCTCTGACTTTTTTCTTTTTGTGTCCTTCTGTTGAGTTTCTTTGAATCTGCCTAGAACGAGAGCTGATGGAAGGTTGTGGAATAAAAAGGGTGAAAACAACAACATTGACAGAGAGCAGCAATTGTCCAGAAGATGAAAGCTCAAAATTGATGTCCATTTTCAGTGAGGATCTGTGGCCCTCCAGTCCAGGGCTTAAAGCCTATGAAAGTTTTAAACCCTACAAATTATACATTCCAACAGTTAAGTTCTAAGTGTCTGGCTTCAGAGTGGATGTAGTGCCCAGAGGTAGGGATTTGCAAAGACCAGAATGCAAAAAATCACGTGCTGCTTGCAGGGTGAAGGGAAAAGGTGCAGGGAGGTCCTGTACATTGTCCCACTCCCCAGCGCTGTTTGCTGTGGGTACACAATGGCAGCTCTAGCGCTGCACTTCAGGACAGCAGGCATCACCACTCTTCTTCCTGATAAATTAATAAGGCCCAGCCATTATGTCAGTATTTTGCCAAATATCCATGTAATGCCTACGCCAAGGTGAGCACACAAACTGCTTTTTTGCACTGCCAGGATCTTGCTTGCTCTTCTGTGGCTTTTTCTTTTTTGCCTAAATATATAGAGAGCAGACTCCTGTCTGGGTGCCTGTTTGTGACTCTCTCAGGGGAAGACAGGAGAACAAGCATTCTTACCAAGTAGGTGGTTCCCATAGCAGCAGTTTACCTCTCAGAGTGCACGTCTGGAGTAAAGAAAAACACACCAGAAGGGAAAAAAAAATTATTAAGAACAATAAGAGATTGGTTCTTGGTGCTGCACCACTCACTGAAGGGTGAGCTGGCATGCACCAGCTAGCTCACAGAGCCCTGTGGTGACTAAGGCTTGGACAACATGCAGATACCTCTCCATGGTAGCTGCCGTGAGGCAAGATGCTCCTGTCTGGAGGAGATAACTGCTCTGTGCCAACGTTTACGGCACAGCTATGGCAGGGCTGCCTGGCACAGGCACGCAGCTCGGCATGGCTGGTGCTGTGGATTCATGACACGCTGGAGCTGAGCTGCAAATTCTGCTGATCCAGAACTAGGATTTCTTTTTTTTTTTTTTTTCCTACTGAAGAGAGTTTGCTTTGTTCTATGAGACCCAGGTAATTTGGTCTAGAATGCAAGTTGAAGCCTTGCAATCACACCCATGCAAATACTGTCTCATCAGCTTCTGCCATCCTGTTTAATCTCTTGCCTCTCCCCAGGCCAAAGAACCCTCCATCACCAGAGTGATACCCTGGAGACAGTGATCCTGGTAAATCCCAATGTGGACAGCATCGTGTCTGAGGTAAGGACCAGGTGCCAGTGGATTTTCTCCACATTAGCTCTCTCACCCTTGCTAGACGTAGAAGTCACAATCATCACCTTGCATCTTCTGGAGAGTTTGAACATGCTGCTAGCCTGCTGCAAGTTGTGCAGAAGCAGGGAGGTGTTCCAGCATTGTTAATAAGGTACATGCAGTAACCAGAATTCTGTGGCAGAATTTACTGTTAGACAAAGAAACACATGAGAGCACATGGTTTCTTATGTGCTAGTCCTTTAAGAATGAGCTGCTTCCTAGAAGAGTTAGTGCCTTAGCATTGCCTGATTTTAAGGATTTCATGGGAGCCTGTAGAGTTTCTAAGCAAACAAGGTGGAGTGGCTTCTGAACCTTGAGCATTCTAGTTTGATGAGGGTCTAAATGTGGTGCCCTTTTGCATGGCAGTGTAACACCAAACATCTAGCATTGGTCTACTTACTCCGTGTGAATTATGATGTGACATATGATGTGGAGCTGTGTTGGGCAGGCAATATCAGTGTCTTCCCTCTTCAATAACCTGCTCTCTTGTATGTGGAAAACTTATTTTTTGGCTATGTGTGAATCACATGTAAGTATCGTTTATCCATGTGATTGGGTTTCTGGGTGCTGATGAGGAATACAGATAACTTTCTGGCTGCAACACTCTGTCTTATGATAACAGGTCCGCTCACTGGTGTGTGATTCATCAGCCCACAAACTACTGATCTTCTGTGGTCAGAGCTCAGATCAGGAAGGAGACTTGATCCTGCAGACTGGGACCTTCACTTACGAGAAGTTTGCTGAAATACTTTCAGACCCGGAGGTGAGTGTGAGCAGTAAGCCTGCATGTCCCCTCCTGTTCACAGAGTGCAGGACAGAGCACAGCAGCCTGTGCTACTCCTTCAGGTGGCAGATCTGCCAAGGGATGGGCTTGAAACCCAGGGAAAATTTGCAATCCATAAATAATTGATGCTATGGCCTTGGGCATCTTGCTTGAACTCCCTGGCTTAAGTTTGCTAAGGTGGCAGCCTACCTTTAAGTGCCTAGCTTGAAATAACCTCCCATACTGCCTCTGCAGAGGGCAGACACTCAACATTTCTTAAAGCAGGTCTTAAAATATCTGTAGGCAGCCTCCAAAAAACAGCCATCGGAGGCCATCATTGCCCTAGTGACAAATGTGGCTATTTCTCTTCATTTCGCAGTCAGTCCAGCAAGCATAAGCTATTCATAAGGTTCAGAGTGTTCATTACAGGTGTCTGAAGATGATGAGGGGATTACTAAATGCTGATTAAGTAACTACATGATGATTAGATAATTGCAAATGTTGTTATTTAATCACAGAATTGCAGAATCATTCAGGTTGCAAGGGCACTTGAAAAGCCTATAGCCCAACCTCCTGCATAGAGCAGGGTCAGCACTGAATTTAGACAAGATTGCTCAGGACTTTGTCCAGTGGGGTCTTGAAAACCTTAAAAGACATCTCTGAACCTCTGCTCTGATGCTGATTATATCTTAGCTAGGTGTACTATAGCTTTCGTCAGAGGCTTTAAACTCTCTTTCTATTGACACTCATTGCCAATACAGATATGCTGCTTCAGTTTTTGATAAGCCCTACTTCACTGATCGCTGTGTGCCAGATGTTTAGAATGTCTCTGACTGAATGTACAGTTGCTGCAGGAATGGCTGGGTGATATTTTGACAAGTGATAAGCATTGTTGCTGTAACTAAATCAGCAAATCTGCCTATCATTTTTTTTTAGGCTGATTGTTCTCATTTATTTATGGTACCTATTTGGATGCTAACTAGTTAATTAAGGGCAGTCTAAGAAGGAGAACACATTGTTAAGAAGTGTAATAATCTCATTGCAGATACTTAGGAAGTCTGAGGTTTAATGCTGCTTTGGTGGGGATATGTTAAACGTAGCTCTTAGGAGCCTTGGAAATTTTATTGACCTTTGTTCTACTCATTAATCATGTAGCACATCGCCAGCCCTGTATATTATTGGAGATATGACTTCCAAAATAGGTGCTAGGGAAGAAAATGAGTTTGAGTAAAAAAGAAAGTCCTACGGCACTAGAACTGCACCAAGTGCTGTACGATCATTCGCTAGCCAGTGACCGAGGGTAAGTTCAGACAATGATCGAAAAGGGTATCTCAGGGTTAGAATTCACAAATCAAACAGAAACTTCTACTTTTCAGCCCAAGCCAGGGTCTGATATCCCAGGTTACATAGGAAGAAGTAAAGAAAGAGGACAGGTTGGTTCCTGCTTTCCTTTTCTTTCCTGACGTCTTGTCACTGTGCCCTCTCAACAGTCAGGAAGCAGAACAGCCCGTCAGCATTAAGAATTTCAAAGGAGAGCAGAACATGGCCCCGTGCACCTATTTGCAAAGCGCTTTTGCTTTTGGACTGTTTCATCTCTCCCCGGTGTTTTCTGTCAGCAAAGTACTCACGGTTCTTCAGTATTTCTTCCTTAACTGGCAGAAATACTGCCAGGATTTTTTCTGAAGTGCTGAATTGGTCTCAGAGCTGTATTTGACCTTTATTTGCTTGTGTTTGTCGCATTAGGTTACCCAGATTCTCAGCGACACTGATTCCGATATCAAGGCCTCCCTCACTGTGTCGTGCTTGGGAGAAGGAGACTGGAGCAACCTTGGACATCCTCGATTTCAGGAAATTATTAATCTGAAACTGAATCCTGATCCGGTTCTGCCAGAAATGGATGGGGTGTCTGAGTTTGCAGAATATGTCTCTGAGACAGTTGACGTGCCGTCTCCATTTGATCTCCTGGAGCCACCCACCTCAGGGGGCTTTTTGAAGCTTTCTAAACCCTGCTGCTATATATTCCCTGGGGGAAGAGGTGATTCTGCTCTCTTTGCTGTCAATGGGTTTAACATCCTTGTGGATGGTGGCTCTGACAGAAAATCCTGCTTCTGGAAGCTGGTAAGGCACCTGGATAGGATTGACTCAATCCTGCTCACCCACATCGGTGCAGACAACCTACCTGGTATCAATGGGCTGCTGCAGAGGAAAGTTGCTGAGCAAGAGGAGGAACAATCCCAGGGCTCTACCAACTACAGTGACTGGATGAAGAACCTAATTTCTCCTGAGCTAGGGGTGGTTTTTTTTAATGTTCCTGAAAAACTGAAGATGCCCGAATCATCCATGAAAGTGAAGAGGAGCATCGAAGAAGCTTGTCTGACACTGCAGTATCTCAGCAGACTAGGCATTAAAGCAGAGCCGCTCTACAGGGTGGTGAGCAGTACCATTGAACCTATCACTCTTTTCCATAAAATGGGAGTGGGTAAGCTGGACATGTATATACTGAATCCTGTCAAGGACAGTAAAGAAATGCAGTTTCTAATGCAGAAATGGGCTGGTAATAGTAAAGCGAAGACTGGCATAATTCTCGCAAGTGGGAAAGAAGGTGAAATTTCTGTTCCCTATCTCACATCCATCACAGCCCTGGTGGTGTGGCTTCCAGCCAGCCCAACAGAGAAAATTGTAAGGGTTTTGTTTCCTGGAAATGCTCCTCAAAATAAGATACTGGAAGGTCTTGAGAAACTCAAGCACCTGGATTTTCTGAGGTACCCAGTGGCTACTCAGAAGGACATCACTTCTGGAATGCCTCCACCTGTGCTGAAGCAGACCAAAATTAAACAAAGAACTGACAGTAAAGAGAGTCTTAAATCTTCCCCCAAGCCATCTGTGACAAAGCAAGCTAAGAAAGAAGAGGCAGTTGAGGAGGGGATTAAGGAGGTAAAACCAGAAGTCGTAAAGGATGCTAAAATTGAGAAAAAGGTTAAAGAACACTCAGAGAAAATTCTTGAGAAACTTGTTAAACATGAAAAGATAAAGACAGAGTCAAGTGATGCTCTCAAAGCTGAGAAAAGAAAATTGGCAAAAGACAAGGTTGGAAAAAAGCATCTCAAAGAGAAAGTATCCAAACTGGAGGAGAAGAAAGACAAAGAAAAGAAAGAGATTAAGAAGGAGAAAAAGGACTTAAAAAAAGATGATGGAAAGAAAGAGGAAAAAAAAGATTCCAAGAAAGAGGATAAAAAGAAAGAAACCAAACCAGAGCCCAAAAAAATTTCTAAACCAGACTTAAAACCATTTACTCCAGAAGTAAGAAAAACATTATACAAAGCAAAAGTTCCAGGCAGACTCAAAACTGAGAAGATTAAGATCAAACCTGAAAAGGAAATACCTGCTGACCTGAAGATGTCACCAATGGAGAAGGCACCTGTGCAGGTGGAGCCAGGAGAGGCTTCCATAGCTGAACAGAGGCTAGTCCTATCTTCACCAGAAGATCTTACAAAGGACTTTGAGGAACTGAGGCATGAGGAGAAAGAGGCCTTGCAGGTGGCGCAAGAAATGTCTGATATTGAGGTTAGTGATAAGATTATGAGAATACCTGAAACTGAGATAAGAGACTCTGCTGACATGATTGCTCAGAGCTGCCTTGAAGTGGATCTGCTTTTGAAAACAAACATTCCTGATCAGGTAATGCCTACTGCTGATATGGAAGAAGCATCACCAGCAGAGGACAAGACAGTCCCTCAGCTAGAACCAAGAGCAGGACTTGCTGACAAAATAGAGGATGAAAGAAGATCAATAGATGAAAATCGTGACATGAAACACTGCGAGACAAAAGCTGAGCAGGACAAGGAAGTTCAGCTGTTTGCAGACAAAGAACAGGTACCATCACAGATAGACCTCTTAGCAAAGGGTGTTCGATCACCAGTGCTCAGAGAGGAAGACAAGGAGGAAGAGGAGAAAATCCCTTTGGACAGAAAACAGAGGGAAGCAGAAACAAAGACTTGTGAGGGGACAGAGGCACAGGAAGAGGGTGAGAAGGAAAAGAAAGAAGATGTGATAGAAAAGGCAGAACTGGAAGAAAAGGAAGAATACCTTGTGAAGGTAGAGGAGAAGGTGGAAGAGAATAGAGACTTCTATGAGCTGAATCAGGATGAGAGGGAGAACAAAATGTTTACCACTACAGAAAAGGAAAAAGAATTTAGTGACATGGGTGAGAAAAACAAGTTACTTGGAAAAGACATAAGAAAGGAAGAATCATATCTGAGCACTCTGCCAGTCACACCAGGGGCAGCAGCAGAACATGTTTCATATATCCAAGATGAAACAATCCCAGGATACTCAGAAACAGAGCAGACCATTTCTGATGAAGAAATACATGATGAACAGGAAGAGAGGATCCCACACTTGAAGTATGATGTCAATGCCTATGACATTTCTGTTCCTGACCACCCAGGCTCTTTTGAAGCAATACATGGAATACAGGCCATGCCTACTGCTGACCTTTCAGCCAAGGGCTATGTTGGCCAGGAGTCTGAAATCCTGGCATATCCTACAAACATTGTGGCAGCACCTCTAGCTGAGGAGGAACATATATCCTCTGCCACCTCCATTACAGAATGTGATAAGCTTTCATCTTTTGCAACTTCAGTAGCAGAAGACCAATCTGTTGCATCTATAACAGCACCACAAACAGAAGAGACTGGGAAAAGCTCTTTACTTCTAGACACAGTAAACAGCATGCCCTCCTCTCGGACTGAAGCAACCCAAGGTCTCGACTATGTTCCCTCTGCTGGCACAATCTCTCCCACATCATCCTTGGAGGAAGACAAATATTTTAAATCTCCACCCCCTGAAGATTTCCACACCTTAGCAGAAGGAGAGAGAAAACTGGAAGCTCAAAAAAAGGATCTTCATGAAGAGGCAGAAGATGAAGAGGAAGAAGAAGATGGGACTCCAAATATTGAAATGCCTGAGAAACTCAGGGGGCATTACAGTACCCCCATGTTTGCTCATCAAGCATGTCCTGACAACGTGTTAATCGATGTTCCCACACAAGTGATGCAAACTTCTGGTTTGCCACTATCCTCTGAAGAAACACCATTTCCCCAGGTTGATGCTGCGGAGGCTGAGGAACGATGCATGAGTCCTGATGACAGTACAGTCAAAATGGCCTCTCCCACCCCATCTGGCCCCACTAGTGCAGGACACACACCTTTCTACCAGTCTCCAGTGGAGGAAAAACTAGAAACAGTAGATTCAGATCTATTTGAAAAACAAACAGATGATGCTGCCAAGAAATTGGAAAGCCAGACTTGTGTTGTGGTGAAGAGAACCAAGGGTGAACCGTTCGGAGAAGACGTGGTATCTGCAGCAAAATACAGACATGAAAAAGAAGTGCCTGGACCCGAACAGCACACACTGGACCTGGGCAGTGACGTTCCAGTGTCTCTTGGAGAGGAGGTGCAGGAAGAACCGCTGGGGAAGGAGGAGCTGCCCTGGCTCTCCTACCACAAGCAGGACACAGTGGTGATAGGGGAGGAGGAGGAGCGTCCCGTGCGGCTCCACCCCAGCACAGATGTGTTTCTGGAGCCAGAAAAAGAGCAAGGAACTAAATCCATGACAGAAAGTTTAATGGGATTTTCAAAACACTTGTCCTTTAAGCCATTCTCTACCACAGAAGTATCCCCAGGAAATGTGGATCCTCCACAGTTCATGAGGCAAAGCGAATCTGAAAGTGACAAATCTTCACAGTTTTCACCAGATGATACCAAAACACTTTCTTTTACAGAAGAAAGTATTGCTAAAAAGACCTCAGATACTTCTGTTAAGGGAGTGACTGCTGAAGAGGGAAAACTGCTGTATTTCACAGGAGATACCTCAGAAGACAAGTCTTCTCATGTTACCATTAAAGACATTTCTCCAGAAGAGACTAAATCCATTTCTCTCACTGAGAGCCCCAGCAAGGTTGTCTCTTCAGACATTTTTGTTAAAGGAATTTCTTCAGAAGACATCAAATCTCTTAGTTTCACAGAAGAGATACCTGTAAAAGAAAAAACTACGTCTGACTTTACTGCTAAATTCCCTTCCGAAGCTGCGAAATCCCTGGATTTCACAGAGCAGAGCCCAGCTACATATGAAAAATTGTTGAAAATTTCTGCCAAAGAACTCTCAGAAGAAGTGTCAAAATCTTTTCCTTGTCCAGAAAGTAGCTCAGTTAAAGACACATCACTCAGAGATAGTTCAACTGAAGATACATCTCCAGATGACAGCAGTTTATTTTCCGCATCAGAAAAGGGTCCATTTAGGGGAAGAACTGCCGGCTTGGACTCTCAGGGAGTATCTCCAGATGCAAAGGGCTTACACTTCACAGAATCTAGCCCAACTGAGGATAAAACATCTTCACACATTTCTGCTGAAGCTGTAAAATCTTGCAGGTTCAGCGAAGCTCAAGAAGAAAAATCTCCAGAAATGGAAGACTTTTACATGAAAGATTTAAGCTGTGAGAAGAAAGTGTGGTTCCCAGAAGAGGTGGATGAGAAGCCTGTTCAGGGAAGGAGGCAGATATATGATAAAGAGAGAGAGAGCACATTCTTGGATGAGGTACCAGAATATGAAACAAAATCCCCTCCTGAAATGGGAGAGAAGGAGATCCTGTCTCCTGAAGTGCCTGCCAGTCACATCTGGAGAAGAGCAGAAAGGGAAGCATGGGGCTCTGCGTATGGGTATCTTCAGGAAGGAAGAGAGGCTGGAAGAGGAGGGCAGTTAACCAAGGAAGAGGATGAGAATCTTTGTCATGCTGAAGACAAAACTCTGCTACAGCAAGCAGAAACAGCATGTTTAAAGATAGAATCATGTGATTATAAAGAAGACACACAGAAGAGTGTCAAACCTACATCAGAAACAAAGAAAGAGGAGACAGTTCCTACTGACATCACGCTTCCAGAAAGAACACAAACGGGAAGTTCTCCTTTGTCTTCTCGATACATCTCTGGTGAAGAAAATCAGGCCAAAGCATTAGCTGGAAACAAAGGCAGGCAAGAATTGTCCTTGACATCTAAACAAGATTACTCCTACTTAGATGATGAGGAGAAAGCTGTCCTAGATATCTATGCAAAGTCACTAGACCAAGCACTGACGGCATCTCCCCTGTCTGTAATGGCTACTGCTCAAGAAAAGGAGATTGACACACCACCAGAAACAAAGGCACCTTACAAGTTAGGTCAGTGCAAGCCACTTTCAGAGGAGGAAGTCCCACTGAAGAAGACAGAAAAGAAATCGGACATCAGTGGTTTGTACCAGGAAATAGACTGTAAATACAAGTCAGATAGAAAGCAAGAGGATGACTGTAAATCCACTGAGGGTCTCTATGACTCTACAGGAAGAAAAGAGCAGATGGCAGCAGCATCTACTCTGTTGCAATCTACAAGACCAGCAGAATACGAATATATAGCAGCATCCCCGGAAGGGAGTGCTTCAGGGTCAGGGCAGCATGCACACTCCCTTTTAGGACAAGGCCCTTGTCAAAAAAGCAGTGCTGCCATAGGCCATGCTGAGGCTGCAGGTTCTGCCAGCCAAGTGGCATATCCTCCAGAGACCTATTCCATGAGCTCCCCTGAGCCTTATTCCTATGAGGAAGGGGTCTGCAGACACAGAGGTGATGACAGTTTCACAGGACAAGAGCAAGAAGAAAGAGAACCAACTCCCTACCCTGATGAAAGAAGTTTCAAGTATGCTGACATCTATGAGAAAATTATTGTGTCTGGAGTTGGATCCTCCCCTTTCACACCCAAGGGTGCAGACAGCCCAGTTCACACTGACAAGATGCCAACAACAGCACTGATTTCTCAAAAAGGGCAAAGCTTTCATGTCTCCGCAAAGGAAGAAGAGTCCTGCCTTTATACCTCTGCTGAGAAGGAGTTGTCATCTCCAGCATCCCCTAAAGATAAAGCAGATTCAGCCTTTGACTATACAGACATCCATGAAAGATACTTGCCCTTGTCTGAAAGAGATAAGCCTAGGGTATCTGAAGGACAGGAAAAACTGAAGGTGTCATCTGCTTTTCCAGAAGAATTGGACTCTGAAATGCACCCATCATCTGCAAGCACAGCATTTGCCTCTCCCACAGACATGACTCATATATTTAATCAACAAAAATCAGCTGCTTATGTTGATGCTGCTTGTCCAGATGAGAACATCCTTTTGTCTAGCCAGGAGCAGGTATCTCTGTTCCTGAAATCTGAAAGCCCAAATCCCAAAGACACATACTATGAGAAAGCAGGTCAAGGGGAAGAAAGCACGAGTGACTCAGAGTTAGAAAAAGGTGCTAAGGAGAAATCTGAGAAGGAGTCTAAACTGCACAGCCCTGCTAAAGGTACAGGCACAGTCTATGCACACATCTCAGCAATGGACAAGTTTCATGTACCAGAACCCCTTCTGCAAAGCACGCGTCAGGAGTCCATTTCACCCAGTTCTACTGCCTCGTCACCCTCTGATCCAGGGTGGAAAGGGGAATATGGAAGTAGGAAAACTGCATCAGCCACCGTTGTGGGGACATGTGTTCCTGGTTACAGTGACGTGCCAGACATAAGCAGAGATCAGCAGACTTCAGAAGTGTACCAGCTAAGACAAGATTCTTCACAAAAGAGAGAGGTTGCTAAACATACCACAGAAGAATCACATTTCTGTGTAACAGATTATCCAAGTGCAGCAGCGGCCTCAGAGAGCCAGGACCAAGCCATAGACTTGAAATCTGCTTCTGGAAAACAGGAAGAGGCATTCAAAAAGGGCCCAACAGCAGAGGGCACAGTGATGCACAGCCCTTCAGGATTTGAATGCCCCCTGCTAGAAAAGAGTGAAACACCCAGTATGCTCAGACATGAGCAAACCTCAGCAAGCCATTTTGGGGATATCTCTCTTCCTTTAAAGTCTCCTCGTGCTTTGCTGTCAGATCAGGGAAAGAAAGATGAGTACTTGGAGGTTCCTGAGAAAATCAGCAGCCTTGACTCATCTTTTGCTAAATTCTCACCACTGAGTCCATATGAAGAAGATAAGTTGTTCTCCAAAGCTGTGGAAAGGGAGTCTATGCCCCAACATCAGCTGAAAGATGACTCTTCCAGCCTGTCAGAGGAACCTTCATCTGAAGCTACCACTCCTGTGATACCAACTAAAGCAGAAAGTTTCTACTCCCATATGCTTTCCACATACACGGGTGCAGGAGAGGAACCAGGTACCAGGAGTCTTTGGGATGTGTCTCCACAGATTCCAGATAGTGCTGTGAAAACACATACAGCTGAAACCAAAGACTTTGTGTTTGCTAAAGAATATGGTTCTCCATTCACCAGCGGCATGGGTGACAGCATTTCGCCAAGCAGAAAGGAGTGCCAGAGCTCAGAGACCACACCATGCTCTGCAGAGAAACAACGGCAACCCTGCGTAAGCAGCCCAGAGCAAAAGGCACCATTTTCAGAGCACCCGTTGACACTGACATCTCTCCCTGATGTCCTGACATCATTTTCTCATCAGCAGCACGAAGATGAAACCACAGCCAATGGTCCAACAGAGGTGAGCACCAGTCTGCAAGCTTTCCAAAGTACGTACCATGCAGCAGAGGCAAAAGATGAAAAACCATGTGCTGATTCTGACAGCAGTTTTTCTCCATGCGCAGGCAAAGAGGACACAGAGAGGCAGAGCCGTCCTTCCTCTCTGATGTCCCCTGCACACAGTTTCCAGCCCTTTTTCCCAGATGTGCAGAGGAGTGGAAAAACAGAGGACCATGGAGATGCTTCCCATGAGATGGAGCCACATCTAGGAGGCAGTTTTGGTTGCAGACAGAAATTCTCCTCATGTGAATACAAACACAGGAAAGGAGAGCTCTCTCCCTCATTCATCAACCCGAGCCCTCATGAGCTCTCTGAAGATAGTGACCTCTCACAGGAGGACGGTCATCCTTCAGTGCAAGGAAGACCACCCCACACTGGTAGTAGTCCCATGCAAAGTGCCACAGTGGAGGAAACTCCTCCAACGTCAGTGAGTGATTCTGGAACCTCTCAGTCAGACTCGGATGTCCCGCCTGAGACAGAAGAATGTCCGTCCATCACAGCAGATGCCAACATGGACTCAGATGAAGACGCTGATTTCCTTCCAGTGGACAAAGCTGTTGGGAATGCTCATCACACCAGTTCTAGGTCCAGCCATGATCCTCAGCCTGTTCCAATGGTAGATCCTCATCCCCATCCTCCTCACCCTGATGTCTGCATGGTAGACCCTGATATGTTGGTAAATGAGCAAAGCATGAGCAGAACTGATAAAATCTCCAAGAAAGACATAAAAGAAAAGAACAAAAGTGTGAGGAAGCCCTTGAACAAACCCAAGTCTTCCTCACCTGCGCGTAAATTAGATGTGAAAGGGAAACGATCCCCCACTCCTGTGAAACAGCCATCGGACAAATCTCCAAAATCTGTCACTGCCAAAAAAGAAAGAGATGGTGGAGAAAAGCCCAAACCACGCGGTGGAATGGTGCAGCCAGAGGATGAGTTATCCCGGAGCAGCCACAGCAACCCTGGCAAGAGCCTTGTTAATGGCATCAAAACAAACCCTGGTAAGAAATTCTTCTTTAAGCATGCATGTCCATAGAATCACAGAATCCCAGCATGGTTTGGGTTGAAGGGACCTTAAAGGTCCTCCAGTTCCAACCCCCTGCCATGGGCAGGGACACCTTCCACTAGAGCAGGTTGCTCCAAGCCCCTGTGTCCAACCTGGCCTTGAGCACTGCCAGGGATGGGGCAGCCACAGCTTCTCTGGGCACCCTAAAGAATGGAGAAAACTGGAAAACAGCTGATGTCTGTGGTCTTGGCGGGTGCCCATTGCAGACAGTGTGGCAGAGAGGGTGTAATAGAAGTGGGGGAAGGTTTGCAGAGGCACTACAGGAAACTCCTCTCACATGAGAGCAGCTGAAGGGAAAGACACGAAGAGAGCCCCTTTGCATGTTGTTACAAATACAGCTCAGGAGAGCCAAACTGGTGTCACTGACAGATGGTGTCACTGGCAGCAGCGGCAATGGACAAGCCACATGGTTGATGAAGAGGCTGCTCAGTGTAGTGGGGAGGGATAGGAAAGCAGCAGCCAGAGCAGTGAGGTGGTCACAGTGCCAGGCCCAGGAGGGCTCTGCAAAAGAATGTGGAGTGAACAAGGGCAGAGAAAGCTGATGCTCATGATCAGCTGACAAGCACATAGGGTGCAGTCAAGAGAGAGCCTGCACCAGGGTATTAGCAGAGTGCATGTACAGAAAAGTCAGATCTTGGAGGTGCTGCGCAGAAGAACTGGCAAGATGCAGTGCCTGGATATGTGAGTCTGAAAGGAGGGTTGAGGCAAAGTTAAAGGATGTAGAGGTTGTGCATGGAGCAGTGCTGTGAGTTGCCCAAAACAAACTTGGGGTGAGGAGTCAGCATCCATAAGGCTGGCTGAGAAAGGAAGGGATTCTTTGTGTAGCAGCCAGGCAGCACAATGAGGTGTCCATCCTAGCAGTTAGTGGCTTTTTGCTCACAGAAAAGACTGTCCAGAGATAACAGCATATGGAAGGAAAAAGAGGACCGACGACTCTGTGATTCCACAGAGAGCAGGAGGGAGAGGGGGGACAGTCCTTCTATGGGTTGTGTGTGTATATATATGCGTACATATTGCTGAGTATAACAGCCCTTGTTTGACCATCTCTCATCTCATAAATGTAAGTGGCAGCAAATGAAGAAGAGGTACAAAAGGTTGATAGGAAAGAACAATAGAGTCCTTGGAATGGCAGCAATTCACAGGGATGGCAGAAAGCCAGTGTGGAGTATCCAGAAAGGCTACCTTAGGATAGCATATAAAGGCCACCAGAATGGGTTTCTTTAGCAAATGTAGACTGTTAAAATTCAGGACTAAATATTGTTTGGGATGACAACTCTGCAGAAGCTAATAATAGAGATTTTTGTTTCCCTTCTCCAGGAAAAGCTTCTGAGTCTAAAGCTTTCCAGTCCCTCCCCAAAGAACAGCAGAACTCCCTTTCCCTCCCAAGAGCTGTGGCAGCACTGGCCCAGAAATATACCCAGGTCACCCCTGAACAGCAGAGCCTGGATAAATCTTAACTTTGTCACTGCAACTGCAGGGGAAATGCAGCTTTCTGGAATTGAAGTCCTTCAGTGTTAATTTGAGTGTTTGTCCTTTCCAAAAGGGTTTTGATAGCCTCTCTTCTTTTTTTTTTTTTTTTCCCCAAAGCTTCCAATAGTCCTAAGAGCAGTTTGCCTGTGCCCATGGGTCCACCTGTCTATGTGGACTTGGCATACATCCCCAACCATTGCAGCGGAAAGAACACGGATCCGGAGTTCTTCAAGCGAGTTCGAGCATCGTATTATGTTGTGAGTGGGAACGATGCAGCCAATGGAGAACCAAGCCGTGCAGTGTTGGATGCCCTCCTGGAGGGGAAGTCTCAGTGGGGTGAGAACCTGCAGGTAGGTCATGGGAATGCCAAGGAGTGTGTGTGATGCTACTTGTGTCACAAGTGCTGGGGAGGAGGTGTGTGTCACAGAGATACCCAGAGGGAGTATACAAGGACATAATGAGAGGAAGCAAATGGTACTGGGCAAGTATTGCTCTGCAATCTTAAAAGAGTAATTGTTTGTACCCATGATGAGGACACTCGCAAAGTGGTGTGAGTGGAAACAGGTAGGTCCTCCTTTCCTTCTGAGGGGAGGAAGCATTTAGAGATCATACACTCCTACTTACCTTCCTCAAGCGAGAACAAGCACCATCACAGTCTGTATTTTCATCACAGTGTCCCACACCCAGTGGCATTTGTTGCTCACTGGCGATCTTTCTGATAGCAGATTTTTATTAGTGCTTTTAAACCAGAGTGTTCTTACACATAGTTCTTGCTCAGTTTGGTTTGCAGGACATTCCGAGTGGGCGCTCTTTCTGAAGCCAGGTACAAGAAAGTGTGTATGTTCTTTCAGATCAAGCAGCCTCAGATTTCAAGGTCCCCGAGTGGCACGTTGAGTCAGTAGGCACATAAAGTCTACTGTCAGGCCATTAACAGTGACACTTTCAGAATTGTTCATTTTCACACTGAGGGATCTGTCTAAGGCTGTTTCAGGAGCTCCACAGAGTGATGCTTTCCCCTGCACTGCAGCTGTTTTCATCATTAAGATCTTAGTTCTGCCAGTCTGCAGCCATTGTGCTGGTAGTGCATAAAATAAAGCACCAGCTCTGCCTTAGAGAGCCTGACCTCTGAAAGACATTAAATAGAACAAGAAGTACCAAGGGTACAGTGTTCCGAAATGAAATGGAAATTTTAGCCTCAGCTCCTGTGGGCATTGTTTGTCACTGC